GTTCGACAAAGTATCCCACTTAGGTCTCCTTAGTAAACTTAAAGGTTTCGGACTAGACCAATGCCTATGTGAGTGGTTTAGAGATTACTTAATGGATAGAAGGCAGAAGGTTAGAGTTAACGGTGTACTATCAGGATGAAAAGCAGTATCCAGTGGAGTGCCCCAGGGAACTGTATTAGGTCCATTACTATTCCTATTATACGTTAACGAATTACCAGGGATTCTTTCTTCATCTTCATTATTATTTGCAGATGACATTAAGATATGGAAAACTGTAAACAATAACGAGGATAGGTCGGCCCTACAAACTGATTTAGATAAATTAGCTGAGTGGTCAAGTCTATGGAGTTTGGAAATGAATGCTAGGAAAAGCGCGGTAATGCACTTAGGTCAGAAGTCTTATGCGTCGTACTCCCTAGGGGACGCAGAACTACCTGATGTTAACGAACAGAAGGACCTAGGAATCATTGTCAGCAATGATTTGAAGACAACTGCAAATTGCAATGCAGCCGCAGCTAAAGCATTTCGAATACTATGGGCAATTCGAAGGACTTTCAAACGACTAGACGAGGGCATGTTCCAAATACTCTACGCAACATTTGTCAGGCCTCATCTAGAATACTGCATACAAGCGACGAGTCCATGCTTCAAAAAGGAGGCACATATTCTGGAAAGAGTACAGAGAGTAGGAACAAAATTAGTTACTGGTGTCTCACACAGGTTCAATCCAGCTAAATCTGGGATAACATACTTCGGACGTTGGAAACCTAGGATGTGTCTATGCATGTACGGTAACTTTGTCTCAAACACGAACACAGTCACAAATCTCGGGGTAACATACTCAGATCTTACCTTTACTCAACATGCAAATAAGGTGGTATCTGATTGTAAACATCTAACCGGCTTTGTGCTACGCAACTTTTACACCCCAGACGCCAGATTAGCCATATATAAGATATGCATTCGCCCCAAACTTGAATACTGTACCCACTTATACAGTAGCTTTAAATCAGCAGACAGAAAAAAAGTTGAAAGTGTCCAAAGATTCCTCACGAAACGCATATTAGGCTATGATCAGCAAATAGAATACCTTGACAGATGTATTCGACTGGACTTAGAGCCCTTATGGTTAAGGAGAGTGAAGTGCAATTTATTTCTCTTATTCAAAGTTATAAGAAAGCACTGTAACAGTAACTCGTCCATAACCTGGGCTAATCCTAAATCGTATGGACTACGCAACCATAACTACCTTCTCAAGGTTAACACCCATAAACTCACCACTAGAGCTAACTTCTTCACCATTAAATATTGCAAACTTTGGAACCAACTACCCTCTGAGATTAGATCCTGTGAAAGGCCTGACAGTTTCAAAAGGAGCCTAGAAAAACGTATTAACATGTCCACCCTAGCCCGCCTCAAAGATCTCAACTGCTGGTAGAGTGGTGAGACAATGGCATTTCAATATTTAACTACAGAAAGTACACTAGTTCCCAGACTAACATAATAATACTTAGTAATTATGTAGGTTCAATACTTGAAATTAGATGGTCATTAAAATACTTAAAATGATTAAAATACTTACGCGGCGAATGTTCTGTTGGTTTACCACTCTTATTTCCCTTATAACACTCAGTTATTGAGCCTAATATATTCTTCGATAATACGAATTATAACACAGAAGGGTAGTTAGTACTACAGGTAGCCGTAAAGTAAATCAATCTATGTTTAATAAAAGCATAATCAGTGTTATAATTCGTATTATCAAAGAATATATTAGGCTCAATAACTGAGTGTTATAAGGGAAATAAATGTTTAATAAAAGCTAATCAGTGTTATAATTCGTATTATCAAAGAATATATTAGGCTCAATAACTGAGTGTTATAAGGGAAATAAGAGTGGTAAACCAAGAGAACATTTGCCGCGTAAGTATTTTACTCATTTTAAGTATTTTAATGACCATCTAATTTCAAGTATTGAACCTACATAATTACTAAGTATTATTATGTTAGTCTGGGAACTAGTGTACTTTCTGTAGTTAAATATTGAAATGCCATTGTCTCACCACTCTACCAGCAGTTGAGATCTTTGAGGCGGGCTAGGGTGGACATGTTAATACGTTTTTCTAGGCTCCTTTTGAAACTGTCAGGCCTTTCACAGGATCTAATCTCAGAGGGTAGTTGGTTCCAAAGTTTGCAATATTTAATGGTGAAGAAGTTAGCTCTAGTGGTGAGTTTATGGGTGTTAACCTTGAGAAGGTAGTTATGGTTGCGTAGTCCATACGATTTAGGATTAGCCCAGGTTATGGACGAGTTACTGTTACAGTGCTTTCTTATAACTTTGAATAAGAGAAATAAATTGCACTTCACTCTCCTTAACCATAAGGGCTCTAAGTCCAGTCGAATACATCTGTCAAGGTATTCTATTTGCTGATCATAGCCTAATATGCGTTTCGTGAGGAATCTTTGGACACTTTCAACTTTTTTTCTGTCTGCTGATTTAAAGCTACTGTATAAGTGGGTACAGTATTCAAGTTTGGGGCGAATGCATATCTTATATATGGCTAATCTGGCGTCTGGGGTGTAAAAGTTGCGTAGCACAAAGCCGGTTAGATGTTTACAATCAGATACCACCTTATTTGCATGTTGAGTAAAGGCAAGATCTGAGTATGTTACCCCGAGATTTGTGACTGTGTTCGTGTTTGAGACAAGGTTACCGTACATGCATAGACACATCCTAGGTTTCCAACGTCCGAAGTATGTTATCCCAGATTTAGCTGGATTGAACCTGTGTGAGACACCAGTAACTAATTTTGTTCCTACTCTCTGTACTCTTTCCAGAATATGTGCCTCCTTTTTGAAGCATGGACTCGTCGCTTGTATGCAGTATTCTAGATGAGGCCTGACATATGTTGCGTAGAGTATTTGGAACATGCCCTCGTCTAATCGTTTGAAAGCCCTTCGAATTGCCCATAGCATTCGAAATGCTTTAGCTGCGGCTGCATTGCAATTTGCAGTTGTCTTCAAATCATTGCTGACAATGATTCCTAGGTCCTTCTGTTCGTTAACATCAGGTAGTTCTGCATCCCCTAGGGAGTACGACGCATAAGACTTCTGACCTAAGTGCATTACCGCGCTTTTCCTAGCATTCATTTCCAAACTCCATAGGCTTGACCACTCAGCTAATTTATCTAAATCAGTTTGTAGGGCCGACCTATCCTCGTTATTGTTTACAGTTTTCCATATCTTAATGTCATCTGCAAATAATAATGAAGATGAAGAAAGAATCCCTGGTAATTCGTTAACGTATAATAGGAATAGCAATGGACCTAATACAGTTCCCTGGGGCACTCCACTGGATACTGCTTTCCATCCTGATAGTACACCGTTAACTCTAACCTTCTGCCTTCTATCCATTAAGTAATCTCTAAACCACTCACATAGGCATTGGTCTAGTCCGAAACCTTTAAGTTTACTAAGGAGACCTAAGTGGGATACTTTGTCGAACGCCTTGCTAAGATCAATAAAAACCACGTCCAACAGATGGTTCCTATCTCTGGCCTCAACCCAGTCTTCCCTAGCCAAAAGTAGGTTTGTCAAGCAGGATCGTCCTGGTCGGAATCCATGCTGTTCCACAGCCAACAAGCCATGTGTTTCAACATAAGCTAATAGTTGATCCCTTATAATAGTTTCCAATACCTTTGCAATAATGCATGTCAGACTTACCGGCCTGTAGTTAGATACCAATTGCCTATCCCCGTCCTTGAAGATAGGGCTTATAATGGCATCCTTCCAGTCCCTGGGTAGCTTAGCCTGCGTCAGAGACATTTGGAAAATCTCCGTAAGCGGAATATATATTATATCCGCCAAGGAAATTAACAGCTTAGGGTGAAGTCCATCCGGCCCAGGTGATTTACCTGGCTTCAGTTTAGACAGTAGTTTGAGAACCTTTGTGTGCTCTACCACAATTGAGGGCATCTGAGTGGCGATGGCAGTGACCTCGCCATATCCCTGGGTGGTACTATCAGACGAGAAGACGTCACAGAAGTATTCAGAGAGGTTTTCAGCCTTTCCTTCGTCTGACTCAGCCGCTTCTCCACTAATGGTTATGAGTGACGGTATACCACTGCTAGTTTTAGTCCTACGTTTAATATACGAGTAAAACCTTTTTGGGTAATGAACGCAATCTAGTACTAATCGTCTCTCGTACTCTATACGACTCTTGTTAATCGCATACTTACAGAGGTTTCGAGTTTTGCGGTAGTCTTTCTGGAAGTTTTCCCTTCCTGTCATAACAAATTGGTCCCATAAGTTCTTTCGCCGTCTTAATAACCTCCTTATTTCACTAGTGATCCAAGGAGGTTCATGCGACGGCTTTCGAGGAGTGTACCAAGGTATAAAAGGTGAAGTGACACGATCTAGTGTATTCCTAAATCCTACCCAAGCTTCCTCGACAGTCCGACTTGTATCAACTGACCAGTCAACCGCAGTTGCTGCGTTCCGGATTCCTTGTATATCCGCTTTCCAAATGTTTGGACGAGCAGATTTTGGCCTGTGTATGAGAGAATGAATCCTAAACGTAAAAGCAATGACTATGTGGTCACTGCTGCCAAGCGGCGGAAGGCACCTAATGTTACCAACGTCCTCCTTCTGGTGTGTCAATACCAAGTCTAGAGTAGATGGATCATGTTCAGGGTGATACCGTGTTGGTGCATGCATATGTTGCACGAGTGCACATTCAAGCACTGTCAATGTGAGCTCCCTATTGAAACAGGTATACAAACTAGTGGAGTTTAATTCCCCCCAATTAATATGTGGAGCGTTAAAGTCGCCAACAATCAGACACCTATTTCTACTACCCCACGCCCTCAAGTGATTTAGAACGAAGTCATCAGCTTGGCTAGCAGGACTTCTGTAAATAACTCCGATCGTTAAAGTGCCTTTGTTTAAGTTAATGATGCAACTTGCGGCTTCACTGGTGCCGCTGTCATGAGCTTCTGACAACGTTGACCTGATCCCTATGTCATCCCGGATGTATAGAGCAACCCCCCCCCCTTTCCGACTACTTACTCTGTCTGCTCGTATGCAGATATACCCAGGTATGAGTGGAGTTAAGTCTACACCCACTAACAACCACGTCTCAGTGATAGCAATTACATCAGGTTGTAGTCTTTCAGATAACTCTCCTAATTCGGCGAGCTTATTCCTAAGACTACATGCGTTCGTATAGCACACCGAAACACCTACGTGTTCACCCGGCTTATGAAGAGAGGTCTCGGCAGCATCGGTTTCCGAGACCTCACCACCCGAAAACCCAATAGCTTGAGGTCCTTTTCGCCTTTCTCTAGCCTGGCCTTTAGTTCAGCCACGGCTTCTCTTCTTTTGATTCTATCTTCTAAAGGCCAATCAGGCCTTATTTTTAGACTTTTGTCGTTGACTTTGAACGCGTTGTCGAGGATGGTCCTCCTCTCTGTTTCGTTCCCTAAAACTATCTTAAGTAGTCGTCGAGGAGTTCCTGTAGCATCAGGGTTTCGTTTTCCGATCCTGATGGCCTTTCGTACGTGTACTCCAGTTGTTTTTTCGGGAAGTATTTCCCGGAAAATGGAGCTGATCGCCTTCAGATCATCTGCATGTCGGGCAGCTGGATCTGTGTTCTTAGATTCCTCCAAGTTCCAGATGATAATACTGTAACTAGAGTCCGTGGGTTTCTGAGTTTTGCTGGTACTAACAGTCGTCGAGACCTTGTTGGTAAACTCGGCTACTGTTTCTTTCCTAGTTTTGTTTTGCTTCTTACCTTTCGGCAGCAACCAAGTGGAGTCAGTTTCTCCTACTCTGTTTTCGCCGCGACTAGAAGCAATTCGTGCACTAGACACGCTGCGCTTTGGCGTTGCTATTTCACAGGCTGGTTTTGCCATGCTGGCACTACTTGCCCTTCTGGATTTCCGTTGCCTTTTGCGCTTTGCAGCAACAGATGTTTGGGCATTTTGTGCTTCTTTCGCTTCTGAGACTTCAGGAGGTGATGCATCCTGAGTCTTACAACTATGTCCTGAACCGCCATCCTTGGCTAAGGTTTCTGGTACAGGCTTTTCAACTATGTCTTTCGACAATTTCTTGGACATCAAGAGTCCTACTGCCTCTTGGATGAGGACATCTAACGGGTTGCTGCAAAATTTGCACAGCCATGGAGATGATGGCTTGCAACATCTCTTATAGGCTACTGGTGTTAAACCAGTGCAAACTTTGTGGAACCAAAGGCTGCAGTTGTCACACTGCATCCCATCATCCACCGGAAAGTGGCAGTCCGGTCGTCCACAATTGTTAGTTGGGGCCATAATTTTAATTTGTTTCAACTATACAGTTATATGTACGTGAAAACAGTGAGGTTAATACCAAACAAATACACACATATATATATACGTGTGACAGCTAGGTAAATACCAACCAAAACACAAAATGTAAATAAAATAAACAACACTTCAACTAAATAAATCAGTTAAAATGAACTAAAAGCTTCTGATGTGCTTTAAACAACAAAAGCAGAATTTACTTCACAACGTTAAAAATGCCGCTCTCCTTATAATAGATGTAGACAGGTTACTTTGCAATGTCAAATGTTTACTATATATAAGACTGTGATGATAATTTAGTACACTAGGTCCTGCCAACCGACCTTACCTTCAGTTCATACTACCTACATTGAACCCTAACTATAGTGTTCTGCTGAATCTTGCTCCACTATTCACAAAACCTATTCTTTTTACTCTTTAAGGTTTTAACTTCTCATAAAGTAATCTGTTCATTAGGAGGCATGCACGCATATATAATATGTTCATAAAGATGTACGTGGAGACCTATTGGAGGCACTCATTAAGAAGGCTAGCGAGATGGAATATGAGGTACGAACATGTCTGGTACCAAGCAATATATTTGCAATAGCCATAATAATCATAGTCTCAGAGCCCAACATCATAAGAGGAGGGAGAGTGGCATTACCTGATCAGTAGATATGGTGGTGGTCACTAAGGTGAATCGCCTCATTCTGCAGGAACAGCAATATGCAATTTGAAGGCTCCAGATATTTCTGATTTTTATGAGGGCTTAGATCTTTATCTTGAAAAAGATAATAATGAACGCATGGACAGATTATGCTTCTGCCTTTAAATATATACCATTCGCTTAGCCTATTGTTGAGATGCGACCATGTGGGATCTGCGCAGATTTATGGGGCATCTTATAAATTAACTTGCTGTCACTTTCAGATTCAGATTTATTGGTTGAGGATAGAAGGCTTGCAGCCTATGTTAATCCTTTTCTAGTAGATTTCTGTGGTTGTCCAAACCCTTCTTGAACGAATCAGTTGAGGTTGCAGACACCACTTCTTCTGGGAGTCGGTTCCAAGAGTTTATGACTCGATGTGAGAACCAGTACTCAACAGCAATATGATTTCTCCTTGGCTTTTGAACTTTCCTGCTATGTCCTCTAAGGTGTTCCGACCTGGTGGGAAGGAAAAGAGAGAATAGGTCAGGTCCGTAGTCATTATTTAAAATTTTAAACATTGTGATTAAATCTCCTCTCTGCCTACGGTATGACAGTGAGAAGAGATTTAAACTATCTAGTCTTTCCTCGTATGATAAGTTAGCTATGCCGTGAACCATACGTGTTGCCTTCCTTTGAACACTTTCTAGAATGTGTGAATCCCCTTTTAGACACGGACTGGCGGCCTGGATGCAGTTTTCCAGTCTTGACCTAACCAGAGATGTGTATAAGGAGGTGAACATATCTCTGGTAATTCTTGTAAAGGCTCTGCGAATCGCCCATAAGGACCTGAAACTACGTGCAGCCACCGCGCGACAGTGTGCTGTAGTTTTTAAGTCGTGGCTAACTATGACACCTAAGTCCAAGTGAGTCTGAACTGATGGAAGTGTTATTCCCTCTAGTTCGTAGGAGCTCGTGCTTGCTTGTCCAATGCGCATGGTTGCACATTTTGCCACATTGATCGGGAGCATCCATTCAACAGACCACTCCGACAATTTGTTGAGGTCGTCTTGCAACGTGAGCGTATCACTGTTGCCCTTCAGCTCTCTCCAAATTTTTAAGTCATCTGCGTATAGGACCATAGGGGAGTCGGTGAGCAGAGGTAACTCATTGATATACAGAATAAAAAGGAGAGGACCGAGAACCGTGCCTTGTGGCACTCCGCTACTTACTGCTGTCCAGGAGGAGAGTTTTGAGTTGATCCTAACCCTCTGCCTCCTATCTATGAGGAATTCCCTGAGCCAGTCTAGTAGTCTGCCTTTGATACCAAGACTTTCCAATTTCATGAGTAGTCTTTTGTGAGGTACTTTATCAAAGGCTTTACTGAAGTCTATGAAGACGACGTCAACGGGTCTTCTGTTGTCCTTTGATTTGACCCAGCTTTCTCTTGCAGTCAGGAGATTTGACAGGCATGAGAGGTTCCTCCGGAAGCCATGCTGTGCTCCAGATAACAAGCTGCTATTTTCCAGATAAGCCATGATGCTTTTCTTGATAATTCTTTCCAGTGTCTTGATTAAAGTGCTGGTGAGACTGATAGGCCTGTAATTTGAAGGGCTTTGTCTTGATCCTCCTTTGTGTATGGGGGTTACTATGGCGTCTTTCCAATCACGTGGCAACACTCCATTTAGGAGAGATAGCTTGAAGATCGTGGTCAAGGGGCCGGCTATGTGGGCTGATAGCTCCTTGAGAAGCCTTGGATGAAGATTATCAGGACCCATTGATTTCCCTGCATCTAGTTTCATTAAGAAGTTGAGCACGATGCCTTGGTCGATGTCAACGGAATCTATCCCATGTTCTTCTGATGCAGCCAGAGCTGATCCTATAGGCAGTGATGACTCCTGAGTGAAGACTTGGGAGAAGTAGTTTGCCATTGCTTCTGCTTTTTCTTGATCTTCTTCGATTGTATCTTTGTCAATAATCAGGTTTGGGACACCATTGGGTGTTTTATTCCTGAAATTCAAGTACGAGAAAATTTTCTTAGGTTGTGCCTTTGCATTTTGGGCCAGGTGTGTCTCGAACTTCATCCTTGATTGGCGGATTTCTGCGATAGCTTTATTTCTAGCAGTAGTATATAATTCCCTGGTCTCAGAAGTCTCAAGTGTTGCAAACAGGTTCCAACATTTGCGTTTACGTCTGAGTAACTTACGAATCTCCCGGTTTATCCAAGGGGGGAATGTTTCCGACCCTTTGGAACAGACCAAGGGATGAAGGGTACAGTTACTTGGGCGTAAAGTTGCTTAAATTGGTTCCATGCGGCTTCTACTTGGGACTCTGGATTGATGTACCAGTTTACTGAGTTGGCTGCTGAGACGATCGCATTTATGTCAGCTTTCCAAACGTTTGGTCGAGCTGGGGTTTTGGCCCTTGCTGCCGTTGCTGTGAACTTGAAAGTGAGCACAGCATGGTCACTTCTTCCTAACGGAGGAAGATGTTGTATGAGATCCACATCCTCACCGTGTGAGAACACTAGGTCCAGAGTTGACGAGGAGTGCTGTGAGTCATAGCGCGTGGGCTTAATGATATGTTGGACTAGGGCTAGCGATATACTAGATTCTAGCAGTTTATGATCAAAGGAGTTGACTGAAGATGGAGTTGTTAGGCTCGACCAGTCAACTGTTGGGGCGTTGAAGTCACCGACTACGAGACTTCGACATTTTGAAGTCCAGGAGCCTAGCTTCTCTATTAGGAAGTCGTCTGCACTGCAGTCAGGACTGCGGTACACAGCAATGAGGTCAATGTCTTGGCCTATGCATTTAAGTCTGCAGCGTAGAAGTTCGCACGACTCACTTTCGTGGGCGAGTGCTTCGATACTACGCACGGTTAAGCCTTTCTTGAGGTAGATGACTACGCCCCCTCCTTTGCGGTTTAGTCGGTCTACCCTGTGCACTTCGAAGTTTGGCAGGTTAACTTCGTTGTCAGTGACATCGGGTGTGAGCCATGTCTCTGTGATAATAATTACATCCGGGTTTCCGGTTTCTATCATGTTTGCCAGCTCAGTCCTTTTATTTAACAGGCTGCGGGCGTTTGTGTAGCAGACTGTTAATTCAGATTGGTGCTTCCCCGGCCCACCCACAGAGGTTTCGGGATCATTAAACTGCGAACTCGGACAACCCGAAAACCCTTAATCTTAAGGTTCTTCTCACCGTTCCGGCGTCGCTCACTTAATTCTAGTGCCGCAGCCTGTCTTTTGACACGGTCTGCTAGGCTTAAGTCAGCGCGGACATATATCCCTGATCCTTTGAGAATATGAGAGTTGCTTAGAATAGCATCCCTCTCTGCTTTAGAGTTTAGTACGACTTTGAGGAGACGTACAGGTTCACTTACTGTAGGGTCAGGCTTTTGACCTATTCTGTATACGCTGTGTATAGTAATGCCTGATACTGTTTGTGGCAGTAGCTTGTCTAAAAGGGGCTTGACCAAGTTAAGGTCATGCTCGAATCTGGTCTTAGGGTCGAGAGCCAGTGACTCCTCCACTTTGTGGAGAATGAGAGACCTATCAGAGAGATCGGGTTTGCTTTCCGTGACTTTCTTGCCCTGAGGCGTAAGTGTGTTTCTATCCTTCTTGGGCGGTGTGGCCGAAGTGTTATCCTTATCTCGCTTTTTGCGAGAGACTACGGTGCGCCATTCATTGGCGTCCTCCTCGCTAATCTTAGTGGGGTTCGTCTGTCTGCTGCTCACCGGTGTGGATGAGGCTTGTTCCGCCAGTCCCTGGGCGACTGGAGCTGCAGGTTTTCGACCCCTAGTACGCCTCTTCTTCACGGCAGTCTTTCCATTACTGTCACTGGAGGGCTCATCCAGTATCGTGGGGGCGACCTGGGTGTCTGTAATGTGGTGGGTGTTCTTCTGTGCTGTAGAGCACTCACTTATTGGCAAGGTCGCATCTGGGACATGTGCTGTTTTGTCAATGACGCTAGTCACGTCATCGCTATCTGAGCAATAGTCGGTATTCTTCTGTGGTGGAGGACGCTTGCAGTCCATGAGCTTTAAAGCCCCACTAAGAGTAGCTATGGCTTCTGTAATACGGAGTTTAGTTGTACTACAGCAGTCGTTGCACAACCAGTTCGCTAGAGGTTTGCAGCAGCGTTTGTATGCTGCTGGAGTAAGGTTCGTGCACATACTGTGAAACCATCTCTTGCAGTTATCACACTGCATTCCCTCATCCACTGGAAACTGGCACATAGCCCTTCCGCAGCGGTTTCTTTTGATAGGCATTTTATTTAAAACAAACCAGGAAAAGTTAAATACAACTTCAAATATATATATAACCTTTGTAAATCAGTGATAAAAGCTAATGAGTGCACAAAGATAGATATATGTAGCTATTATGTTATAAGAACACAACTTCCTATAATTAATAGACTCAGATCTGAAACGTAAACTAACTTCGATCAGAATAAACTGATTTAAAGTTAAATCTGTGGACTTTTGAAGCGTATAACACAACAAAATCCAATTATAAACAAGAGCGTGAAAATTAACTCCCTTTTCAAAGTTCGCGCGGTTGCAGCTTGTGAGATCTTTAAATACCACTTCACAATGT